AGAGGAGAGTGTAATACCTTGCTATAAACTGAACAGGAAGGACAGATTAGGTCATAGAGCTGGGGGAGCTGTATTAGGGCTATACTGTTGAACTTTCTGATCAGGAAACGGATATTGAGTCCAAAACGTTGAAGGAGATCAAAGAATCATGTAAGCCTAATGAGGTAGTAATAATGGGTGAATTCAACTACCTTCAGCTGATCAAATGTCACACTGGGACAGAGCGTAAGGGAAACAGTCTCTCATCACTCTGAGTGATTGCCTTTCTGAAACATTTAGTTCAAAAATATGGACATGGAAATTCTTGACTTAAGCAACATAGAGGAATGCAGGTAAGAAACTCTTAACTCCTGTATCATAACAAACCTTCTTGGGTTAAAATCATGGCTACTGTACAATTCAATTCAATACTGAAGAACCAACAGCTAGTTATTATTATTGTGTCCTGTCACAACATGAAATGGTGATAAATTTCAAATATGAGAGGTAGATGCAGGTAAAGTGGAGATATATGTGATTCATCAATACAATACTTGGATACGGTAGAGAGATCATATTACCTTCTCCAGATGAGCTCTGTGTGCTAGAATCTGTGTTTGGAAAGAAGAACAATAAAGTTATTAGTGATAAAAGAGAACTGACAACAGAACTTGAAAATACTTGGGATTGTTGCATAGAAAAAAGGGGAAGGGGAAACATGGTAATATGCAAACCATTCTGCTGTGTAACAGCATTCTAGAAATAAAAGACCAACTAGAACCAGGCATCAGATGGGGATATGTTTAATATCCTTTTCAAATTTCAAATGAGTTAACATATTTTTATTTGGAAAGAGGTACTTTTAGGATGTGGAATGCAATTCCAATATGGCTTTGTGTTCACAACACGTGCTATTACTTCTTCAGGGGATGATTATGGCCATAGCTCTATGTTCAGCACGTACAGGGAAAACTATTATTATTTTTTTGTGGTTTGGAGGCACAAAGAGTAATTACATTTACCAACAGCCAGCTATCTTGTGGCTACAAAAATATGGAGAAAATGGTTACATCATTTCCTTTGTGGCCCTGAAAATCCTTTTCACTAAACTCTAGATGAAACTGTGAAACCTGTAGAAATGCATATTTTTAATGTATGGCTCTACATTAAATAGAACTTGTAAAATTTGGATCAGGAAAGGGTGTAGGTGAGGGCTGACAAGGTTTGATATGTTTCTGATTCCAGCATCTCCTTTGATTTGGATTTGTAAACTGATTCTATCTTAGGTAGAACAGATTTGAAACCTTGCTGGCAGTTCTAGGAGAAACCGTGTTGTTACTGGTGGTTAGTTACAAGCATCATCAGTTACATCACAGTTAAAGTGAACTAATGTGATATGAAATGTACTTTATGATGATCCCAGAATTTGCCAGATGTTTATTATGTGGCCAACCACTCTAACATCCACATGAAAAAGAACAGACGCCATGCTTCTGATTCTCCTACCTGCCATTTGTGCTGTTGCATCAATAATACAGTCAATTATTTTTCATAGCGTATAAGAAGGCCATTCATTTTGAGGGATAAAAGGAAGATTAATCTTTTTGATAATAATATTCATGATGAATTTTGTTTCACAACTTTTGTTACTTATAATCTTTTTATCAAAAGAGCCCTTTTTTATGTGTATTGTTATCATATTTATCAAGGGAACGACCCATCATCAAGCATCAGATATTCTTACAAGTTGTGAAGTGTCCAAGATAAAAAAACTTTCCAAAGCCATATCCTGCATGTAGTTTTCCTGTTTTTTAGGTACATAAACAGATATTCATACCTAGGTCTCAAAGAATAGTATTGATAATGTTGAACTGAACATACCCACTGGTAATATATAAATTAACACAGAAAAGTAGTGTCAGATGGATAATTTTTTTGAACAAGGTGACAATACAAGGAATAACTGGAGTTCATATTTGATCCTCCTTGTGAAAGCAGCTGGATAAGGGATTTTAATTCTGCTTGTTATAAAAATTCTAACTACTGGACACAGTACTCAAGGTGTGGCCTCACCAGTGCTGAGTACAGGGGGAGAATCTCTTCCCTGGTCCTGCTGGCAACACTATTCCTGATCCATATTAAACAGTTATTACTGAAAGACTGAGGACTGTGCTTCTGATTCCCTTAGAGAGTTCTCAATGTAAAATGCCACCCAAGGTTATTTGATTCAGAAAATCTTGAACACTAACAGATCGTATAGTATTTCTAACCTGGAAAATAAACCATATGGAAAAAAATTAAAATTTTCATCTACTAATTGCTGTCATCTTTTACGTGATCGTCTTGGTTTGTCAGTTCCTTATGCTGAACTAGGTGAATACAAACACAGTAGAAGACTCTACCAATCAGACAGATCATGACCATCTGAAAGGTACAAGACAAAGGAGAAAAAAGCCTTTGAGTTATGTCTCTTACTTTTTCCTCAGACCTTCTTTGTCTTTGCCGATAAAGGATGTGAAAACTGCATTCTCCCAAAGGCTAGGATGCAGTAATCTTATATATTTCCTTCCTAGGAAGAGTTGATGCAGTTGTTTTTTTCTTTCAATTTCTTTTTGGAAGTCCTAATAGTGGAATTCATGGAATGGGAAATTACACAGTTCTTTTAAACAGTGTTGCTGATGTTGGAAAAAAAACCAGTTTCTGACCAGAGTCATTGCTTGGGGACCATTTTCTTGAAAAGAAAAGTTGGAACTAAGTATACCAATATAGGCTTAGTAATTGTAGAAAATAAATGTAATAGTAAGTGTTTTTGAGTAAAGAATGTATATGACAGGGAAAATCGACACCGTACTTATCATGAAAATAGAAAGGAAGCTTGACTGCATCTTAAACAACTCTTTTGAAAGGAGTAGAAGTTAGACTGGTGATCATCAGAGATACTTCAGGGGTTTTGTAGTTCATTCTGTAAAGAAAAGGGACATGGAACCTGAGCCTAACAATAAAAGATTTTAAAAAAAAAGTCTTTTAAATGTATTTTAAGTCTGTTTTATGAGAATAAAAATTTAGAGACCCAAACCAGAGAAAAACATGAGTTTTTTGGAGCCCTGAGTACCTGCTAGAGAATTTGTATGTTTTTCTTTAACCAAATGGAGCCACTTTTAGGTACATCCTTTAATTTGCCATCTAAAGAACTGCTTGTGCACCTGAGCGTGCAGTGGATTTCAAGTTCAAATAAGTGTGTTCTCTTGCATTCAAGTCCTAAATAATCAATTAAATGCATAAAGAAAGCCCATGTAAGCAAGTTACAGAGAAAGGAGGCCAAACTTTCAATACTGTTGATCAAGGGCATAGCTGGAAAGATTCTAAATATGAGTTAAAACAAGCAATTATATTTCCTAAAGCTGTCATTTGGGAAAAAATTCTGAATGTCTCACTTGAATGTCTACCAAAATTGCCGTTAACCTTCTGAAAGAGAAATAGAACTAATGATTTGGGATACCGCCAAACAATTAGACCACTGAACAGACATTGTTCCACCAGCATCTATTATCGGAAATATCTGGATTTCTAAATGTCAGCTAAATAGGCTTACCTCACAAGCAAAGAGAAAGCTGACCTGACCTTTTGACACCACCTGTTCAGGAATGGGAATTTCTTAAGCAGGCTATTCTACACAGATAAAAGGTTCACAAAATTTGACCTGGAAAGAATGGTTAAGGGAATTAGTTTTGTTTAGTCTAGAAAAGAGCAGACTGAGGGAGGATGTGATTACAATCTTTCAGTACATAAAAGAATGTTATAAAGATGCTAGTGATTGGCTTTCTGTGTCCACTTGGGAAAAAAACAAGAATAAAGATGTCCCATGCAAAGGTATTTAGATTATGTATTAGGAGAAAAAATTCTAATAATAAAAATAGAGAATGTGATGCACACTACATAAGAAAATTCTCATCTCATTAACTGGAAATTTTCAAGAATACTTAGACCAACACTTGTCATTAATAGGTAAGATTGCTAGTGTTATTCATGGTGCAAGGTGAATAGGTAGATGTATTACATGATCTCTTAATAGTCTTTGCCCATCTTTCATTTGCTGCAGCTGATGCATTTGGCAAGACAATCTAGATTTGTTATATTGGATATAAAAATAATTGCATATTCTGAGGCTTTCTATTTGTAGAAGATACTTCAATAATGAAATAAATATATATTTTTTAAGAATTCTGATTATGTGATTAAGGTAACACCATTACAAGGATAGCAGAATAATAGGTAAGGAAATTATACAGCTTGATTATTGGCTTTGGATGCAGAAGTCTCTTAACAAGAGCAGTGAGTTTGCTAGTATGGATTTCTTTTTCCCTGTTACTTGAGTATCACATATTGTTTTTTGGTTGATGTTAATAACAAGGAGCTGAAAATTGCAATGAATGATCATCCCATACAGATATACACAGGACTGAAGCATGGCACACCCACTCAAAAGAACAGAAGAACCATCAACATTATTTTATCTTTCCTAAATCCTTTTAAAAGCTATTAAGACAACATTTCACAGTATGATCCATCACGAGCTCAAAAGCAACTGAGTAACAGTGAAAAAATAAACTAGAGAATATAGGTTATGTGTAGGCCTTTATTACATATTACAGATTGAAATGAAATTGTGTGAAGGTTTTAATACTCAGTCTGTGTTGGTACCAGTTGCCTGTTGGTGGTTGAAAGTGTAACATGCTTGCAGATCAGTTTCTTATGTTTGATATTGGGTATAAGAACTTAAAGATATGTTAGAGATGTACAGTCTTACTGAAGCATTTATTTAGATGCATAAATAAAAAGTAGTGTCAAACATTGGGGCTTTCATTTTACAAATTAAGCAAACTACTTGAGTTGTAGCTCCCTGTACTTTCAGTTAGTCTATGAAAGAACATGATGATGTTTTTCTCTTTTTTCCCTCTTGAGTTTAGGAACTGGTTATATTTTTTATTACATACATGTTTTGTTTTGTTTTGTTTTCCTAGGTACTGCACAATGGACTTGTGATGGAAATGAATCATCCAACAGCTGGGAGGATCGCTGTTCCAGGTTAGATGTTTAATCCTTTTTTTTCTAAATTAAATGCTACATGACATCCTGAGCGTTTCTGGAACTCAGTTGAGGACATGATGCATCTTCACATTTCAGTCAAATGGACAAAAGTTTATCCAGGCTGACATTTGTGCTCATAGTCATTCCGGTAGCAGAAAAATGGGTTAAAATGTGTGTTAGAATAGCTTCTGGTTTCCATCGGTCAGTTGTCATAAAACATGAACATAGATTTGATAGTATTTGAAAACTTCCACTGCTAGAAATATTACTGCTAAGTCATTTACATGAATATGTGAATTTCTTTTTGATTTAGGTATATTTTGAAGGTTATACAGGCTTCTTTTAGGGACATTTCTGTTGTAGAAAAAAAAAAAGACAAAAGAGGAAGGAAATTTATACTGAAGACTTAATGAAGATCAAGATGAAGTCTTAAATAGCTATTTTGTATTTCCAAGGAATACAGAAGTAATAAATTAGTCCCTCCTCTTTTAAGCTCTAAATGGATCAGGAGCTGGTGTAGCTTTCCTTCCATTAGAGTTAGTTATGGAATGATGTTAGATTCATCCAGAGCCATTCTGAACATTCAGATCCTTGCAGTTGGCTCTGTTTTGACTACTGATCCTTATCTGATACTCTATTAACTATCGGGTCAACTCTTCCTGCTGCTCTATGCTTTTCTCTCTCCCAGGCCACATTGAGAATTGTTTCTCTGTTCGTTCAAAGCACCATGTCATGTCTGTTTTTAGAAGAACTTACATTTTGATTTTCTGTTCCAATTCTACCCTCTGACACAGCATCCAGTTGTCATCAATTTCAGTTGACTTGAGCACATGTAGTGTTATGCAGAATTTGACCCATAAAATTTATCTTAATTTGCACATCCTGGAATCACACTGAGATGCAGAAAGAATTATTTGAAAGAAACCAATCCCATATTAGATCATGTTTTCTGCATGAATAGAGGGGGTGTTTTTCTGCATCTATGTGTATGCTCCATATTTGCTCTTTAACACAGTTTGCATTCTACATTCCAAGTCTCACTAGACTTGGATGTTCGGTTGATTGTATTAAAAATGCTTCTAATTTAGATGCACATATCTGGAAATAGTAATCCCTTTTTTAATTTTCTTACAGAAAGGCAATCCTGTTTTATTTATCCAAAATTAAAAGACAAATAAGAGATTTTGATTTAATTATTTTTAAAGAAATAGACAGAAAAACCTTGCAGATGGTAGAGGAAGTGTGTAAGGTTTTCATGTTGCATACAGTGCATAATCTATCTTAGAGAAAGCAAATACTCCTTAAGGGGATAGGTTAAACTGCAAGAAGAGGAAAGAGATGAAAGGAATGTTCTAATGTCTGTCAGCAGCGATAGAAAGTATTGGCAAGAAAGTGAGTTTTTACATAGGTAAACCATAGTACTTCCCAAATCCTTAGTTATTTTTTATTTTATTAAACTAGTGACACTGCACTAAACTAAAATAAATCATCTTAATCTCTAATGGTTTGCCATTTAGATGGACTTCTATGAAGAGTTTCTTGTATTGAAGCAGATGGCTGAAATGATTATTGGATATTTGAGCAGGAAGAGTAAAATTCCTTCCCTTCCTAGCATGGGAGGATAAGGAGGGGAGAGACAGGGGAAGGAAGGGTGAAGAACACTCAGTGTGAGTAGAATGGACCTATTGATATCACTGGAAAGACAATGCATTACTCTGTCCCAAAAATAAAGGTTTGGCTGCTGTTGATGATAGGTAATGGAAGTATCCTGGATTTATTCTGCTCAATGATGTACCTGAAGAGCACAGGGAAGAGTGTGCAGAGAAGGCCTCCAGTAGATAAGCTTCTTCTCAATGACTATTTAAAATAGTGTTTTTTTTCAATGCGATTATATTTTAATATCTTGTAATTGGTAGAGAACAGCTTTACTAAGCTCTCAGTTTCTGCCTCAGGCTTGCTTATTAAGGAAAATTAATATATTAATTTGAATGTTGAAACTGAATAGGCTAAAAATGTCTGTCCTTAAAGAGACTGGGGAGACTCTGATCCCAAAATAAAAATAGGTTACTGTTATTTCTTAACCATGTAAGTCAGATTTTAATGTGTCTTTTAGTAATTGAATTGGACATCACACTTGAGGCTCTTAACAGGGGTCAGACTTGTGCTGCCAAGTAAAGTTTTGAGTGCAGTGACATGCACTTATTAAGTGATAGCATGCTGGCAGGTTTCAGCTCTAGCATGCATCTAGCATGTTGATTTGCAGTAGTCCTTCTCCAGGCATGGCTCCAGTTGAAGAGTTCATTCAAATCTGTTATACTGTGTGCTGATAAGTGCATCATCGGATAGCGGTGAAACAGGAGTGGGAGAAATTGAATTACAAAAACCATATTTCTACTAATTTTTCTTTTAAAAATGTATATTCATGGTAGGAGAGAAAGAGACCTTGCATTTTGATATCTCTTGTTTCAAGTATTCATGAAAAATGTCTATGCACATATACACTGCTGCTACTAGTATCAAGATATCTTAGATTCGAGAATGGATGTGAAAAAGGAAGTTTATTGTATCTGACTAAGAGTGACTGTATAAAAGATTGTGAGAACATTTTGAAGAAAAATGTAGTTCTGTTGCAGTTCAGTGATTAGGATAATGTTTCACATATATAATTCAGTATGTTCATTCCATGAAGTTATTCTAGAACTGACTTATATACATATACTTGACATATCATATGGAATGTGCAACACTGTGAGAGGGCCTTGCTTGAGTCATTCTTCCCAGGACTGGTTCATCTGATTGCAGGGCTGAACTAATGAATCTCCTCTGTCTCTATATCTGAAGTCAGCTTAATCATCTGCCAAATGTGATCAAGAGCTGGAGCACCTCAGCTGAAAAGGCTGGAGGAGGGTCAGGAGCTGGTACAGACTGTGGTAAAGGCAGCCTCAGCAGCCCTCCAGTACCTACAGGAAGGTTATCAACACAATAACTTCTTCACAGCAGTGTGTGGTGGGCAGATGAAAGATGAGAGATTCAGCCTGTATATCAGGAATATCTTTTTCATCATGACAACAGCGAGGCAGTGGAGGAGGTTGCCTGAAGAGATTATGCATGCTCCGTTCTTAGACATTTCTAAGCTACTGCTATATAAAGCCAGGGACAACCTCTCTGACTTCAGACATGACTCTGACCTGACCCAAGCAAGAGCTTGGACTGGAGACCTCCCCAAGTCCTTTCCAATTTGGATTATGTTCTTATTCTGATTAAATGTAGTATCTCTTCCTCAGCTCTGTTGTGCTTAGCCCTTTCCATAGAGGTCTGAAGGAAAAATTATATAGTTTAGTCAAATGGGGAATGTAGAGCACAGAAAGTACTTTTGAGGGTAAAAAAATTATAGGGGAAAGATGTTTTATGCAGTGCCAGATTGCAGATGATGCTGGATGGCACAGAGACAGTACAGTTAACTGAAGGGACAACATTTCAAGAAGATTTAGCATCTGGGTTAGTCTGGAACTACTTTGTCAAAGAGTAATGGACTTTTACAAAGTGTGGTAGCATGTGAATTTCTGGAAGCCACTGAATATTCTGAGTGGCAATATGGAGCATGATGGTTACCAACCCATACTGATTATGTAGAAAAAAACTAATGGATACAATGCAATCTTTTCCAAACCTTTTCAATTACCATTTATTTATATGGTTTAGGAAACTCAGATAATAATATTCCCAACTTCTGCATTATCTAGTCTCTAATGCTGGCTTTTAAAGGCTGCCAATTTTTGTTTAAAGCCAAAACAGTTTGCAATATGATTTTTTTTTTAAGTGAAAAAACCACAATGATTTCAGCTGTCCCTAACAAACTAACCTTTGTAGAATTTATTAACTAGCAGGAACCTCTGTGAACTAGACCTCATTTCTGACCCCTTCTAAGCCATAGAGAACTGGGGATTTGGATATAAGCCTACACTTCAGAATCATCTCTGATCAAACAGGAAACAATATAACTGTAGAAATACTGTGAAACACCTCTTCCAGACAAAACAACTATTCTTAGTTGTGATAATGTTTATATTGTATGTTCTCCTCATCCCCATTTCCTGAGTTGATAAACACCATCTATGTCTGTCCTTTGGCCCATAATCTGCACCAAGGATGACTTTATTGCTCAGAAAGGCCAATTTCTTACCTGGCTTATGATTTCCTTCTGTGTTCTTGAGATAACGTGTTTGTGGGACTGCTCCAAGCTCAGTTAAGAAAAGCAGTACAGGATTCCTACTTGACATAGACTTCTTGGACTGAATTCAGGCAACTTATATTAATTAATCAACCTACTCAGGAGAAATGTCCCTTTTTCCGGTCTTCTCCTGTCACTGTGCATTACAAATATACTACTGAAACAGGAAAGACATTTTTTTCCAGAGGTAGGCTTTTCCTGTTGTATGATTCATTAAATGGTGTCGTGGATCCATGGAGATTAATTTTCATCAATCTCTTATAAGAATGGTTTTAAGAAATAAGATGAAGAGGCAAGTAATCTAATAGGACTTCCTTACTGTGCCACAGATTTCTTCCTTAACCTTGGACAAATCACTCTCTGTGTCTCACCTTACTAATTGTTTGCAGTTTTTCAGATCTGGGTTTGTAGTTGAAAACTACTTTGATTGCTAAGGGAAGGAATTTGCTGGGAAAACTCCATGTGTTATTTTAAATATGTATTTCTATTTATTATGTATGCATTTGTACTTACTTTCTTCATATATAGGAAAGATCAGTTATAGAAATAACACTGGGATATCTATGTGTTTGATCAGTACATTTCAATACAGGGAGCAGATATGGCTGTTAGTGACACATGCTATCTTTTTTTGACCATTTAATGTAAGCGTAGTGGGGGCAGCTTCAGTAGGACTAGATGTATGGCAGAGAAGAGTGACTTCCACATGGGGGAGGTTTGCAGGAAATTAAGGAAGTCTGCACTCCAATCCATTGTTTCCTGCAGC